GACGATAATCACTCAATGTTAAAGCAATTATTAACATGGTTTGATTTTTTTTTCTACAATTATATTTCCTTTGTCATCATTTCGTAATCATATACGATTTTTAAAATCGTTAGTATAGATATCAGATTTATTTTTCATGATAACATGTACTTTTCACGTATTTACTTTTATGATACTTATCTTTCATGATAACATCAACAATTCTATATCAATAATTATATCAAGTAAAATATACAGGGTATCCCATTTTAATCGATCACCCCGAATAACTTTTTTAATTTTGATTGTAGAAAAAAATATTTCAGACAAAAGTTATATGGCTTGAAGGGGGACATAAGGTGATGTTATTAGTTTGACATTGAAGAGTCATCTGAAGGTCATGTGAAGGTCACATCCAACTTTTCAAATGGGACACCCTATATGCTTTTGCATATTCCCTTTAGTTCATCTCGAGAGCTTTCCAAAATACTATAATTAAATTAGTTTTCATTAAGTACTTTCCAAATTATGAGACTTGAAATTATTTCTTAATTTTACATAAACCGTAAAAAAAACTAGTAAAATATTCATTTTTCGATTATCTTACCTTAATACTTTTACGTAGAAAATAATGAGAGGCATCAATTGGTGTGAAGAAAACACACAGTTGTTTTTAAGAAAAAATATGCAATTTGCAATTAACAATTACATATTTTTTCTACTCTATCCCCACTTTCTCTCTCGTTGCCCGCGTACATGCGCGCTTCATTTATGTGAGTGTGACGTCAGTGAGTGTCATACAAGCATACCGGCACACCATTCCTGCCGGTGCGTGTACATAAATTGAAAATGTTCGATAAATATACGCATGATACGAATAATCTTATCGTATCAAAATCTGTTTTTTGATCTATTATTATCGCTATCAATAGATGTAATATGTAACAATTGTCAATATTAAAATTATGAAAACTCAATTATTTTAAAAATGTTTTTGATGATGTGTAAAAAAATAGTTTTCATCTTCAAGCTTATATAATTTACTTTCGCTACATTATATTCCAAGTTTACACACAATGTTTCTTTATAATATAAATGATTCCTATTGAAAGTTATCGAATATTCTTATCACAGATAATATTAATGAACTTTTTGTATCGCAATGTTTCAACATATATGATATTTTTTACTGAATTGCTAAACTATCATAAAATTATAGTGTTTTTGCAATTGATCAAAATCTTAAAATTTGTCTAAAATTTGTCTAAAATTTAACATAAAGTAAAACTATTTATAGGAATGAAATGAGAAATAAGTTATAAAAAATTATAGTGTATATAGAGGGTGACCCATTTTAACTTAGGCAGCCAAATAACTCGAAAAATAAGCACACTACGAAAAAATGGTTAGAATCAAAATTTCGTCATTTCGAGGGGGACGTACAATGACGTTAAAATCAGCCTCCCCACCCCTCCCCCTGGGCGGTGAGGGGGGGCAAGTTTAAAATCTTAAATGGGAACCCCTATTTTTTATTGCATATTCCTGTAGCTTATCTCGAGAGGAATTGTTAATTGCAAATTACATATTTTTTCTTAGAAACAACTATGTGTTTTCTTTACACCAATTGATTCCTCTCATTATTTTGTACATAAAAGTATGAAGGTAAGATAATCGAAAAATGAATGGTTTACTAGATATTTTATGGTTTATGTAAAATTAAGAAATTATTTCAAGCCTTATAACTCAAAAAGTACTTAATAAAAAGGTACTTAGTGTTTTGGAAAGCTCTCGAGATAAGCTACAGGAATATGCAATAAAAAATAGGGGTTCCCATTTAAGATTTTAAACTTGCCCCCCCTCACCGCCCAGGGGGAGGGGTGGGGAGGCTGATTTTAACGTCATTGTACGTCCCCCTCGAAATGACGAAATTTTGATTCTAACCATTTTTTCGTAGTGTGCTTATTTTTCGAGTTATTTGGCTGCCTAAGTTAAAATGGGTCACCCTGTATATATTTTTTGTTTTAATATCTTGCTTTTATAACTTTTAATGTATATAATTTTATAATGAGTAATGGATTAAATATGCATAGATATACATATGCAAATCCTATAAGTCAATGTTATATAAATATTATGCATTAAATATTTATTAATATTCAGTTGATAAAGCTTTATCTTTCCCAGCATCGTTAATTTTCTTAACAATAAGAATAATATATTGATTAAAACAACGGACAAAGAGGAGATTTTTTTATCTCAAACATCACACATTAATGTCATGTCCTAAGATAACACACGTGATAAATGTAAATAACATTTTATCGTACTTTTCCAAAAGAAAAAGTATAAAAAACTTATCTATTATCTTTAAATTTGTGATATTATAGACAAATAATGCATAAGTTAATTTTATGAGTTGTGCAATCTAAGGAATCCAACAAATTGTATAATATTGGATTCTTTTAGAAGTTTTAACATATACATATTATATAAGACATTAATTCAAACTCCAAGGAGTGTCGAATAAAAATCATTCATTTATATAAGATATGAATATAATATATATTTAATATATATAATAAATATTTTCATAACAGATATATAAAATTTATATATTATAATGTATGTAATATATTGTATGTAATATATTTGTTATCATTTTCCTCTAAAACTTATTAACTTACTATACTTGTATAAGCACCGTCACCTTCTGTTATCTTCATCATGTTCTGTTATCTCCATCGTCCAATGTCAATTGACGATTACGATTTGCGTTTCATTGTGAAATTATCATCAATCAATGTTAAAAAGCTTTATCCAACTTGAAATAAATTATATAAAGTTTGTCGGAAATCAAGTTATTAGATGTTAGCGTTTGTCATCATATACGCGATCATCATCATCACAACGCTAAATGAATAAATTACTTGTGATCAGCAATTTTTTGCGAGAGTATGAGATTACACTGTTGCCAGTATAAAACCTGTCACTTCTATTCTGGCTATATCATTTCGCGTTTGATCTTCGTGAAGCGGCAAGTGCAGTGTATTAAGCATTAAGTGAAGTAAATTGAGAGGAACAACTTATAAGTAAGAGCACAGTTATTTTATTTCCTTTTTATCAATGATCAATCAGAGAGACATAATTGTTTGTTTATTTGCTGGTCAATTAAAATTTAAAAAAAAATTATGCAACCATAGTAAGCCTTCGGATTATTATACTTCGAAAAGATTGGTACAAATTTATACTCTGCAATATAATTACATGTGTGTGTAAGTTTAAATAATATAAAAGTCGCTATAAATACAAGGTATCTCAGAATAAATACAAGATCTCAGAATAAAACAATCAAATTGTGCCAAGGCATATTCTACAAATAAAAATTGAAAAAATGATAAGTATATATTTTGAGTCGGAGAGTCGAAAAACAGCCGTCAAGCTGTCTGAACGTGTTTCCGTTTAAGAGCCATAATTGTGTTAATCCATTATGCTAATCTGTTATTAGTGTGTTCTGTGTTCATATTAAAGTTCCTGTGTGTTCTCAAAAAGTGCTAATTTATTTAACACAATCCGCGACAGCCGTTCTCATGATACGCGTCTTCGATAAATCTCGAAGTCGTCGCCCAGAGCGTAACAATATTCTGTTCTCATCTAATCGTGTTTATAATCAGTATTTGAAAATGATCATACCGAAAATGTGTCCAATTTTGTATAATAATTTATATCAATATCATTAACTTACGTCAATATCAATACAACTCTATATTAAAATGATTATTCTCAAACAAAAAGTTCGAACAAAATATCTCGAACAAAATATATGTACATTTGATATACATATATTTGAAATATATGAACATTCAAATTACAATGAGAAGACGACGGAATATATTGTCATTCATTTTGAAATGAAAAATTAACTTTTTTTGTTATAACATTTCAAAGTATTTTTAAATTATGGAGATTTGTACATAATATTCTTTTTTTCTATTGAGAACGTATTATCATGGATTGATCATTCCATTCTATACTTTGTATATTCTGTGAGTAATATACAACCTAATATAATTGACGTAATTTGAGAAAAAATTTGGTTAAAAAAATGTATCAACAGAGAATCTTAAGCTCAGCTAACGCCGAGTAATCTGTGTGAATTGCGTTTTTTGCAAGAAAGAGTTAAGTTGTAAAAATTGCATGCCACACAGCTGTAAGTTTTTACGAAATACTTGTGGATTTTACAGACAAATCTACAGTCACGTAAATGATTCTTTTTATTTCTTAATCTTATACTTTAAAATTTAATAATGTAAATATCGAGTATGTACGGGGCAAGTAGTTTCTTTTATTTCTTAATAAAGTTTAAATATGTCATAGTAAATTTTTTGCGCTCTTCAAAATTGTATATAATATACTTGAGATTTTTGATTTGAGAAAATAAATTTGTTATTCATATGCGCAAGTTTTATGAACAGTTCATGCAAATATAATTCTCTCAATGTGTGTGTCAATGCTTCTTTACTAGTTATTAATATGTTAGTGTGATGTAACACAAAAACCTGCTTTATTGTATATAACAGATTATTATAGTATTTAATCAGAAAATGTTAAAAGGAAACTTTTCTTATATATCATGCTAACGTGCAAAAAAAATTTATTTGTACTCTTTAAGTCAGTGTCAGATAAATAGTTATGTTAGTGTAAGTAATTATATGTTACGCTTGATGTGCAATTTTATTACACTTGAATGAATAGCAAAAAATTTTATTCACATTATAATAGATTGTTTTTATCTTTATAACAAACACACATGCATATTATATATATAATGCTTGTTCTTATATAGAGATTAGAACAATATATGCTGTGAATAAAATTTTTTACATATACTTATATAATTTTAGCACATGATTCAAAAACAATATCATTAAAAAAGTGACGTTATTAGATTTACTAAGATATTCTTTTCGAATTCAAAATTTATGTGTATTTAATATTATCATCATTATTTTATGTATTGTATATTGTTACGTCCCTGGTTCGTGTCGCGATTGAGTCTGTCTTGAAAAGGGAAGAAGATCTCGTTGTTGACAGCAGCAGCCGTCATTTGGAGTCTGGTGCCAGCTGTCAAGCTGATCGGACGCGTTTACGAATCGTCACTATGTTTCTTGTTATTATTCACTGTTGTGTGTTCTGTGTTCTTCATTAAAGTGTCTCATTGTTCCTAAAAGTGTCTCGTTATTTCACGCGTCCCGCCAGTGCCCGATTTTATAAGTGCGTCTTCGATTTATATCAAAGTCCTCGCCCCGGGCGTAACAATATATTATATATATATATATATATATATATATATATATATATATATGTATTATATATATTGTATATGTATTATATATTATATATTATGTATGTATTATGTATTATATATTAGCAATTTTAAGATACATATATTTGATACATAATGCATACTATATAATATATAATGCATAATATATAATATAAAATACAAAAAGGCTGTAAAAACATTTAACGCTGTTACACGTATTAAATAAAGTGATAGACCAGAGGCAACGAGAACGTGAAGCATTGGCTCATCGCCAACTGTGGAAAGTAAAAAGGAGATAGAAAACAATATCTCTGTTCTCCTATACTATCCAATGCTAGCCGAGGCTCCGGCTCTCACAGTACGCAGTTTACGCCTGCGCGTGTCATCCCTTCTTCTACGGTTGCGTGTTGCTCGCGTGGGCATTCTAGCATTATAGAACAGCGGTAAAGCGAAAAACGACGAAGAAGGCATGACGAAGGAAACTAGAAGCTGGAATGAGGGGGAGAGACAGAGAGGGAAGGGAGCAAGTTGGCTAGAAACACGAAAGAAACACGAAAGAAAACGTGATAAATCTTGCCGCGAATAATAAATTATCGTAAAGAATCGTTTTCGCATTTCGTGACATGGCGAGAAGAATTCGCCGGGAATAATTTGCCGGGGAAATTGTCCAATTCCAATTCCAATTTCAGAAATGGTCTTAGAGACACCGACATGGCTGAATCTGTGCTTCATGGAGAAGGTCCTGCGAAAGTCAGAAAACGACAATTCCATCCAAGTAATCGATATATTCTCGAAACCGGCCACGAATAAGGGTGACAATTACACTAGTGACATGATCAGGGTTAATGTCGAATATTCACGTGACCAAAGCGGCCGTAAAATTATGGAAAAAAAATCTGTCATCTTGAAAATCATGCCTTCAGTTGAAGGCATTCGTAAGGATCTTGTAAGTTTACTTAATTTATACATATTTATATGAGTAAATAAATTAAATATAACATATATATAAAACATAAGTAAATAAATAAATAAATAAAAGACAAATTTTATTATTTAGTTTGAAATTATTTGATAATTATGCAGAAAAAGGGCCCACCTTCCTTCAAATCTGTCATTGACAAATGTTGCCAAGGTCATATCTCTAATTAATATTCTGAAGGTTTCACCTGGCGGTCGTTGTTTATTAAAGAGTTATTAATAAAAGAATTTCACAATTTTAATGCTTTTTATCTCCGAAAATATTGATTTGAGAAAAAAAATTTTAAGCAAAAAATAAAGGCGTTGAAAAACTCTAGAAAGAAGGTTACATGCATTTTTTTCATAAAGCTACTATTTTATCTGTTATAGGAAAAAATAGTAATTTTAAATACATTTAATACAATTTAAATTTATATAGAATTAAATACAATTTAATACAATTAAAAAACATCATAAATGTATGTGTACACACACACGCGTCAGCGCGCGGGGTGGGGGGGTAGACCTCGCTTTACAACTTACAGCATATATCCATTGTGATTGAACTCTTCGTAATGCGTTCCCTATCGGCGTGATGCTTGCGGGAGGGGGCCCGAAGGCCACCATCGCGCGCGCACGTGTGTGTGTACACATATACATTTGTGATATTTTTTAATTGTATTAAATTTTATATAAATTTAAATTGTTTATTTATTTTCTTTATTTATCTTTAATTTACCTTTTTTGCGTTTTTCTTCGACTTGCGAGTTTGACCGCTATTTTTAAGTTTCATATTCGTGTTCAGGAGATAAAAATACATAAGAATTCGGTAATCTTATCCATTATTTCATATAGATGAGTTTTCCGAAGGTTATCTTATTTTTGTATTCATTATTTTTATCCTTTTTCAGTCTATATCTCCAAAACTATTTGATCCGACCCTTAAATATATATATATATATATATATATATATATATATATATATATAAGGATCGGATCAAATAGTCAGATCAAATAGACCCTTATATACATATATATATATATATGGGGCGTTCCACGCCAAATCGGACACCATTTAGCTTTTGCATCGCCGATTTTTTGAAAATTTTTTATGTTTTAGTATTGGTTGAAAGAGGCCTCCATGATTTTTTTCAATTTTTTTTGTCGAATGGTTTTCATGATATCGATTTTTTAAAAATTACGTTACTTTTTTTTTAGACGTCCATAAGTTTGCGAAAAATTGGCCAAATGGGACGTTTTTTTTTTTTGAAATTTTTCTTTTTAAACGCACTTTTGATAAAAAATATCGAAAAAATTTTTCAAACCGTATTTCTATAAGATTTTCAAGTTTTAAATATAAATTGTTGATTTACCAAAAACACGTACTGATCGATTTTCTTAAAAATTTTTTGTAAAAAACTGTCATTCATTCCACAACTTTTAAGCCTAAGTAGATAATGGGATAACGATGGGATCTATTTTTTTTCGATTTTTCTATTTCCATATTTAAGTTATCCTTGTTGAAAAATATCTGAAAAAAATACTATACACAGGAGCTACTATTAATAATTATCTGACACATAGTGATTATTAATTAGTTCACAGATTGATTTCAGGAAAAAGATACAGGCGAAATAAAGTACTTATTATGCTTGATAAAGTTTTTTTTATTCAGTAGCATTTATTTTCTCACACGTTTAAATATTTTATAAATTCGAGATTCAACAGATAACGAAAATTCTTTCAATCTCAAAGTGTCTTCTCCGTCTGGAATTACACAATGATATTTTTGCGTCCCTGTTATTGTCTTTGCTCTCATATATCGTTTCTCTAATAATTCTTTGGCTCGAATGTAATCTTCGTTAGAGAAGAATTGAGCATAAATATTTGGCAAAGAATTTGGTTTTATTGCCCAGTCATATAATTGTTGAGGAGTTGAAATTTATATATATTGTGGTTTATTCAAATAAAAATTATCGGTCATCGTTCATTAAATGATTAAGATATATCTATTTTATTTAATAAATAACAATGACCGTTGCCGGTGAGCCTGAAAAAAAGATTAATATTTATTTTCAACACGGATGATTAAAATATGGAAATAAAAAAATCGAAAAAAATAGATCCCATCGTTATCCCATTATCTACTTAGGCTTAAAAGTTGTGGAATGAATGACAGTTTTTTACAAAAAATTTTTAAGAAAATCGATCAGTACGTGTTTTTGGTAAATCAACAATTTATATTTAAAACTTGAAAATCTTATAGAAATACGGTTTGAAAAATTTTTTCGATATTTTTTATCAAAAGTGCGTTTAAAAAGAAAAATTTCAAAAAAAAAAACGTCTCATTTGGCCCATTTTTCGCAAACTTATGGACGTCTAAAAAAAAAGTAACGTAATTTTTGAAAAATCGATATCTTGAAAACGATTCGACAAAAAAAATTGAAAAAAATCATGGAGGCCTCTTTCAACCAATACTAAAACATAAAAAATTTTCAAAAAAATCGGCGATGCAAAAGCTAAATGGTGTCCAATTTGGCGTGGAACGCCCCATATATATATATATATATATATATATTGTGACGTTGCCGTCCTGTCGCGCGTCCATCCGCCCCGGTAATTTTGACGGAGCGCGGGCCGAGCGGCCGCGCCAGAAGCCAGATAGCGAGAGCGATATCGAACTCCCCGGAGAGACGAGCGATTCTATTATATTTTGCGCTTTTGTTAATTTTTTTGTAATTTTTTTTGTGTACGGAACGATTGTCGGGCAACTCGCCGGAGAAGATCCGAGAGGCACATCGAGGGATTTCTGACTTGCGACATGGCGCTTTTCGACAACCAACGGCGAAGGAAATAGCGCCTGAGAAATCGAACCATAGGACGCTGAGGGGATAACATCACCCCTCATTCGATAATTAGGAGGTCCGACCTGAGCTACCCTCCGAGAGGAGAAAGCGATAGCAGCACCTCCATCGGACCATTAAAAATGGGCCCGCGACAGCGGAATTTGAATTGGGGCCGTTTCGCGCGGGGCGCCAAAATACCTCGCATATCGCGAGGCGCCAGGATCTTTCGCGTGCCGCGATTTGATTGGCCGCGGAACTACGCATCCCTCTGCGCGGTCATTGACGCAGCTATCGACCCTGGATCGGGAGATCCAGGGATCACTCTGGTGCGAGCGTTCTCAGCCTGCAGTCGAGCTTTTGTATTGTCGTCGTTGTCGCGTTATTGTGTTATCGTTGTCGAGATACAAGGAGAGGAAGAGGCTGAGGATCATCCCCTGCGAGGAGGAGCGAGATATCGGTGAGGTTGTCCATCTTTTCTCTGTGAGCCACGTACGCGATTCGGTCTGCCGGCCGGCCGTTCTGTCGCCGTCACCATTTTCGTGTTTCGCGACCGCTCGGGCCTTGTGCCGAGCCGTCGATTTTCGTAGATTTTCGTAGATTTTCGGGCAATCGGAGACAAGCGACCGAGGAATAGCGGACTGTCGTAACGTAGGCATTAAGTGATACGGCAACGTTCGTCTCTCTCCGGGTTTCGGGGTGTTCATTACGCGTAGCTATCGACCGCCGAATATCGACTGCGTGCGCGAAGGATCGCAAAAAGCGTACACCGCCCGTGTTGTCGTATCACTGTCGTTGCCGCGTAGAATATTCCCGCAATCTCTGGGCGATTTTTTGTGTTTAATTGCGTGGATGTAATCGATTGTTAAGTGTGCGTGTGAGCGTCGAATATTGTATGCGTGAGGGTATTTGCGTCTTTGTCGCGCTCAATATGTCCGTGAGTGGTGCGTACTTAGTGGTCCTTTTCGTTTATCGAATGTGTCGCGGTGCGAGATAATCGCACAAATACAACTGTACTGAAATTTGAGCTGCTTGTGCAGAGAAAAGAGGCGAAACGCCGCGAAAGAAAAATCTCCGGCCGCCACCGGCCATCGAATATCGAACATATCGCCCACCTATCGCGAGATCTATCTTCGCAACATTAATGATTATTTTCGCTACATGGTTACGCTGTCGAATTCTTATTCTGCTGTCGATTATAATAGCAAGCTGGAAAATTGCGAGGAAAAGATCGAAGCGATAAGACGTCGATTGGGCTGCCGAAATTACGGTACGTCTGGGGAAACTATTATTCGCAAACATTTCAGTGTCGAACATTCGTCGTATTCTGAGAAATATCGTTCCGTTCAGCGAACTCCGACCATAAAAACGGGCTCGGATAATTCACAGGAATGTCTTAGCGCTCTCCTTTCGGTTGTCGATTTCGAGCGAACATTCGATTTGAGCGAATTCTTGTTATTCGTGCCCTTATTGATTGGATTGTATATTTCGTTTTCTCATCATGTTAAATTTATTGTAAACCTTCGTTCCTACTTTACTTTGTTATTCAATCTTATTTTTATATTATTTTCCTAATAGTAAACTTGTTATATTTCTTTGTTAAGCTCACGTAATTTATTTGAGTGTTAGTCTCTCGTGGTTGTCGATATGCGTTTTTGTGTCCGTCGCCTATAGAATTAGAAGTCTCGCACAATCAATTGACTTTCTCCCAAAACCCTTCCCCTCTACCGTTAGGCGAGTTAGTCGGCCCGTGACGAAGCAGGCTATTGTTTTTCGCGTTCTTCGCGTCTTTCGCGGAAATTGATGCGTGAAAGACTGCATCTGGCGCCTAACTTATATCGATATATTGAGACGGCCTCCGCTCCGCCGCGGCTTGCGCGCGAACGCCTTCCATCCCAGTTCCGCCGAGCGCGAGTATATTATTTTCGCTACTTTTTTGACGACGTTTTCGCTCCCCCCCCCCCTCGCGCTCTCCTCTTCAACATCTCGAGGAGTGTTGCGAATAGTTGGTATAATTTAAATTGAAGAAACGTCGCAATATATATATATATATATATATATATATATATATATATATACGAAACTACTTGGGAAGAACTCCCCTATAACATATTTAAAAATAAAGCAAATCGGTGAACAAATAAAGTAGAATCTTTATCCCAAAATTTCTCACATTTATTTGTTAATAACTGTTGAATAAAGAACGACCGCCGGCTAAAATTTTCAGAATGTTAATCAGGGATAACATCTTCAATAATATCATAACATACGTCAATAATACATTTGTGCGAAGGTGGGCCCTTTTTATGTATAATTATCAATTATTTAGTTCGATTTCTCATAGATATTCTCATGGAAAAATATTGAAGAACATATATCTTATATATATTCAGGCATTATACAAATTAAGTGCGAATCATGCGAGCAAATAAATAAAAAATAAACCATTCTTTAAAATTTTATAAAATTTTAATTTGAGAAAGAAATCTCATTTATTTATATAAATGGCACACGTGCATTTAATTTGTAAAAAGCTTTTTTTTTTCAGGTTTTTATTATGGTTAATATTACAAATATATAATAAAGTTTCTCTATTTACTCTACGAATTTTTAATAAAAATATCTTACAGATTGAAATGTCGCGTGTTTTTTACACGGAAGTGTCGATGATGACAGACACCTTGGTCAAAATGAACAAGTTGATACAGCCCAAGTATCGTTTGAGCGGAAAAGGCATGTACGTGCAAGAAGACAATCCAACTCTTTTGGTAATAGAGGATCTTGCGCCTCTCGGTTATCGCATAGCCAATCGTCATTCTGGCCTCGATTTAGATCATTGTATATTAGCGTTGCGTGGATTAGCCAGATTTCATGCAACCTCTGTAGCCATATGTGAGAAGGTAATCATTACGAATTAATGCGTAATACTTCATTGCATTAACTAGAAATTCATTTCATATAATAAAATTCATGTTAATAGTATTTCCGTAAGTAATATAAAACGATGCAAGTGATATATGAAAAATCACTTCACTCTTATTGCATATCTTATTTGATTGCATAAATAACGCATACTTTAAACATTACATACGCTGCTGTAAGATTTCTTCTTTTACTTGATAAATGCATACAATAATCAAGATAATTAAAAATTTTATACTGCACATTAATAATATTAAAAAAACATATATATAATATATATACATACAATATATATACATACATGTATATGTATATATATATACATATATATATATATATATATATATATATACATATATTAATATTTATTAATTTATTAACAATAAATTATTATAAATTTATTAAGATATAAGTCACAAAATAAAATTGCAGCTTTAAAATAATGTATATTTAATATATTTAATTACATTGTATGTTATAGAAATATTTGCTAATCAATATTAAATAAGATTTAATATTGTATATAAAAATATTATTCCACTTTATTATCGCCTTGTTTTATCGAAAATTGTGTATAGATAAACGAAACTTGTTCTTGTCACAACTCCCTAGATCTATTGTGACAAAGAAGTAGACATTTTATACAATAAGCATTGTCAAAAGTTCTAAAATTCGCAAAATATTATTTTTAATTATAAATTTAAACAGAATTTGTGTGGGCAGATGGGAATACGAAACTACATACAACAAATAGTTCAATGATAAATTTCTAACAAAGAATAACGTTCAACGACAAAATTCAACATCTTCTATTATTACTTTTATTGCAGCGCGTGTTTCTCTCATGGTGGTTAGTTAAAAAGACAAAATAAATGAAAATTATAAAATTTTATGTGCTTTTAACAAAAAAATTATTAACTTTAATTTTAATTTTTAAATTCTTTTTTCAAAAGCTATATTCTACAATTTTCAAATTAATGAAAAAAATTTTAATCAATTGAAAGTCGATATTTTTTCAATGTGTTTTACATTAATATAAACTTTTCGAATTATAAACAATTAAAAGTAAAGCCCTTTTAACATATTAGACATATGTCAACATTAGACATGTCACACATTAAACATATGTCATGGACAAATAAATTACGAAACTTTCTATCTTTGAATAAAAATCTTAATTTAAAATTAAATTAATAAGATATTTTATACAAAAAGTTGCAACAGTTATACATTATATAATTATGTAATTATCTTAATCAGATTAACAAATAAATTTATCAATTGTTATTAAAATTATTACGTATCATAAAAATTTGTTTTATTTTATGGCTATAAATGTAGATAAATGATGTAGATTTAAAATTTTTTTAAAAATAATACTTTTATTTAGGAACCAAACCAAAAAGAAATGTATACAAGAGGAATGTTTAACATCGCATACCCGAGTGAAATGAGAGTATTTTTTTGTAAGGGCACTAAACAATTGGCAGAGGAAATGGAAAACTGGCCAGGAATGAAGAAGTAAAGTTTGGATATAAACACACAAAAATATACAATAACATTTGTTATATTTTATCTAAGATAATGTTTTCCAATATGTTAATCATAATATAGTAAAATAATATTTAAACAGAGAAAATATTAAGCAAATTTAACATATTAACCAAAAGCATATATAATTATAAATATGTTGCTTAGAAAATATAAATAATTAAATGTTCATTTCATAATTATATAACTTTTGTTGTTAGATATGTCGAAAAAATTGCTAAATTGGTCGACCACATATATAATATAGGAATAGATATGTGGAAATTATCCGAGAATGAGTTCAATGTTATCAATCACGGTGATTGTTGGGTGAATAATATGATGTTCAAATATAATGATGATGGCAAACCTATTGATCATGTTTTCGTAAGTATCATATATCATAAAAGATCATGTATTTCCTCTAAACATAAAAATTCATTGATTATTTATCATTCTTTATATTCAGATTTAAAAGATTCGATACATTAATTCATATAATTATATTTATCTTTTAAACTAAAAGAGATAGATCATAACAAATATATGTGAAATTAAATGGCTTGACCTGAACTTTATTGTGAGTATAGTGATTAATTACAAAATTTATCTGTATTGAAGAACGCAGATATACGTAATTTTTTTATTATAATGTAGATATTTTGATATAATAAAAGTTGTAGCGCTGTTTGAAACGAATATAACGATGTATGATTTAATGTAAATATTTTACATATTATGAGATTTTCCGGCTTGAAATATCGCGTGCGACGTCCACCATTTCATTTTCGGTCCTGCGATATAGCCAACTTCTGATTCGTGCATTAGAGGTTGACGTATGTCATGTTGCCATTTAATCATGATACTCAGTCAGAAGTTGGCTATATCGCAGGGCCGAAAATGAAATGATGGACATCGCCCGCGATATTTCAAACCGGAAAATCTCATATAATATGTAAAATATTTACATTAAATCATACATCGTTATATTCCTTTTAAACAGCGCTACAACTTTTATTATATTAAAAAATCTACATTATAATAAAAAAAATTACATATATCTCTGCGTTCTTCAATACAGATAAATTTTATAATTAATCATTATACTCACAATAAAGTTCATATATATATATATATATATATATATATATATATATATATATATATATATATGCAAGGTGGTTTTGAAAGTCTGGAAACGGTGAATTATCTCCAAATATAGTGGTCCTGTAGGAAAGTATTTCAGACAAAAGTTGTAGGGTTTTAAGTGATACATTACACAGCGCGGCGAGGGGTGGGACTGCGCGTCACTACCCGTGGTTACCGACATCGCCATCTTCATGTTTCGCCGCGCGGCAGACAATGTCTGACATGGTGGACCGTACTATAGCTCTAACGGTTGAGCGCTTCTCTCATTCGTTCGATTTCAATAATTAATATTTCAATTATTATTACAAAAATTGTTACATGGAATAAGATTTTTTTATTTAATTTACTGCGCTCTACCTCCTCACAAGTGCGTGAGCTCATGCTCAGGGACATCCTGTATATATACAATAAAATTATAGTTTCTAACATTGACACTACTGTAAATTTTTATATCACTTTGAACATATATTTTTATAATAAAGTTAATCGAATTCGAGTACAACCGTCACCTATCTGCCCGTGTCACTCGCGCAAATTCTCGACCGCCGCGACTTCCTAAACAGGAATCTTGCTTTTTTCTCCATGCACGGATTTCATTTCCAATTCAATTGTTGGGTATTTTAAAGGTCAATCAATCGAAAGAGTTTGATATTGCAGGTGGACTTTCAAATATGTTTCTACGGATCGCCAGCAATCGATCTTCTTTATTTCCTCAACACAAGTCCTTCCCAGGATGTCTTTAAAAATAACAGGGATACTTTGTATAACGAGTATCTTGATACTTTGTCGGCGACTATGAAACAATTAGATTGCAAAACGCAACCACTCACTAAGGAGGAACTGAAGGCCAGTATGAAGAAAAGAGCTTCCTTCGGAATGATAATATCAATGACAATATTACCGCTAATAATGTCCGATAAGGATGAAGCAAAAGATTTGGATGAGTTTATGGGCAATGATGGCTGTACTCCAGGTTATAAGAATGAGAATTATAAAAAAATTATGATGAACAGAATACCTATGTACGATGAATTGGGCTTATTAGATATTTGACTTAATTTGTCATGATATAGAATATTATTATAAATGATAACCATAGAAAAGCATCACAGAGGATCTAATGTGAGACAATTCTAAATTATATTATTTTAATAAAAGATTATGATGTGAAAATTATGAACGTTTGACTAAATCAGACTAAATCAGACTAAATCATTTGGTGGAAAAGAAATGTACATGAAAGGAAGCGTTGAAGAAATAACAAAAATTTCATAATTATAATTTTGGAATATGTATATATGTATTATACGCAAAATTTGTTCAATTTTACATATATAATTAAATAAAATGTATGTATGAATGTTATAGTTTTTTACGACTTACTCAGAATAAGTTTTGAAGTAAATGAATCTTTAAACCGGATAGTAGTCTTTTGTCCGCTCCAAGAATATTGCACAGCTAAGAGATCTGTCATTATTCTCTTCATCGGTTCTCTTATATGGTCTCCAGCGTCTTTTCCACCTTCTTGCCTTATAAAAGTTTTCTATAAAATTAAAAAAATTATTTGCACTTTTCTAAATAAATAATTGAATGAGATAAACAAAATATATATAGTTTTCGATAAAATAATAATGTGTTAACGACATTACTAATGACAAAATATTATAAATATATATATATATATATATATATATATATATATATATATCATTATTATAATAATGTGTTTGTTATACTTCAATTAATGCTAGAAATTTAATGCATTTGATGGTTGTTAATTAAGTCACATTGAAATTTGCTTCATTTTTGTTCTCAAATAATTTTATTATGACAATCATTACAAGAAGTTGATTCTGTCATTACTCTGTTGATAACACATGTATATAACACACTTGTAAATAACAAGTGTTTGACAAAGTCCGCTTTCGATAGATTTAACACATATAAAAATTGTATTTATACTTACTAATTGTTCTCGTTTCTTTGCATCCTCCGCAAGTGATTTTTCTAATGCATCAAATTCTTCTTTTGTTTTTAATTGGCAAAATTCAACATTTTCCAATTGAGCATTATTATTTCCTTCGTTTCTATTTTTTGACTGTAATATATGCTGTATTATTATATCCAATTTCCTATTTATCTTGTCTGGAAAATTGCCAAAATACATTATATATATATATTTTTTCTTTTGAACATTTACATATTAGGAATTTTTTTAACTTCGTAATTATATACATTTTTTTATTTATACATACTTATGCAAGGACAACAATTGCATCTGTTCGCAATTATATTGTTGACACTTCTTGTGGTCTTTGATGTCCTTTTATTCATCAAAACTGTTTGTGATGTATCTTCATAAATAAATGTAATATGATAATTATATATCACAAACATTGCACTCATATTTGGAACAAGAAATATACATAAATTTACAATATTTTGGAAAATTAATTTTTAGTTACGTAATTGTTAACATGATTATCATTGATTGAAGTACAAGAAAATGGAAACGATTATGATAATATAAAAAAAATATATCCCCACAAAATACTAGCGAACAGTAATATACATTAAACGTTATAATTTTCCACTCAACAATGTAAATGTTATGTACAAGATATATTGCAATACAATTACATTGTTGAACCATAAATTATAACATATTGTTGTTACTGTGAGCTAATGTTTTGAGGACATATACCTAACATCATTGTTTTTATATTATCATAATTATTTTTATCTTATTGTACTTCAATCAATTATATTAATAATTATGTTTATAGAACTTAAATTCTCCAATTTGTATATATTTCTTGTTTTGTGGATGTATATAAAAATGAATTAATTTTAATATTCGTATTACATGTGTATGTACATATAATTTTAAGTATTGCATTGAATTGGAGAATTGCATTTTTACTTTTCATCATGCAAGGAATACAAATAAATGTTATCGGATAACTTCATTTAAAATAATTTTTGTATTACTTTTACAAATGTTGGAAATGTTTATGTCATTTTCATTAACGTCAATTGGATTATTCCTAGCATCTGAATTAAAATTAAAAAAATGTTATCTTTCTAACACTATTATTTTGTATTTTTTTTGCAATGTAATAATAAGCATATTTTTGAAATTGTTATATTTTGTTTAGACAGAACTATGTATTTTTTAATATCATGTTAAAACAAACTTTACTAAATTTATTTATATTTGACATCTGTGTGTGCGTGTGCGTGTGCGTGTGCGTGTGCGTGTGCGTGTGTGTGTGTGTGTGTGTGTGTGTGTGTGTTAAACTAAATATATTCCTACTACCTAACCTCGAAATAAACGCATGCAGTCTTTATTTTTGTTGTTTATTCATTCAGTAAACAAGCTGTTTTAGTTGGTTTGCCAACAGAGTCAATCAAAATCTGTTGATTATGTGACGTTTGTCTCACTTATCCTTTCTGTTAATCAGTTTTGTGTATCGCGCTCGCCGTATATAATATATTGTGTCTTATTTTTTCCTTTTCTTTTATCAGACAGATGGCGTGCGCTACCACGGTTATCATACGATTACTTGTCTATGTATTTCTTATTATTCTCAGTCAGTCTACTTAACGCCGTTGTAACACATGTATTTTTTATTCGCTCTGCTATAAAGAAATCCCAATAGATTATGGGCCCAGGCATGTGAACTGCTAATAGATATCAAAAATAAAAAGGGGCACAGTGTACAAAGAAAGACAGAGGTCCAAGTACCGTTGCTTGAAACTGCAAGGATGGAAATAAATTTGAAGTCTGTCACGCAACTGAACTCGAGCAGTTATGTTCGATGGCGTTTTGAGATTCAGGCTCATCTTGAAGCTAAAGAGGTATTTGATGTGGCCAATGGATCGAGAGTGCAACCAACGGATGCTACGCTGTCCGACTGGAAAAGGAAAGATGCCTTGGCGAGATCGTTAATAAGTAAGTCCCTCGATGATGCGCATTTTAACATGGTGGTCGCTTGTGTGTCATCGACTGACATGTGGAAGACTCTCGTGAGTCATTACGATGAGGTTTCGAACACGACAAGGCAAGCTGCATTGGAAGCGTATAATGATTATCATTGGAAAGAGGATATGACTGTAACGTCATATATTTCGGGACTTATGCTCATAGAAAACAAGCTCAAGGCACAAAAAATAAATATCGAAAAGGAAATGATCATTACAAAAATCGTTCGAGGTCTACCGCAAAAATTTGAAAATTTCAAGCAAGTATGGCGGATTTGTCCCACGAAGGACATTACGGTGGAACAATTGCAAGCAAAGTTACTAGATGTCGAACGCGATGTTGGAGCAACGCCATCTGGAAATCACGGTGTGGCACTATCAGGTCAGAAAGGTCGCGATGATAAAAGCAAGAAGAAAGCTGTTTGTAAAAAGGATAGGAAGAAGCTGCAGTGTTATAATTGCAAAGGCTTTGGACATTTTGCTCGTGACTGTCCATCTGAGAAGAAAGATAAGAGCTCAGGAGGAAGTTCGTCTGATAATCGAGTGGCGATGGCGGCAGAACAAAATCTGAAAGACGTTGATGACTGGATCGGCGATTCAGGTGCGTATAAACATATTACTAGAAACAATAATTGGTTTGTTGAGTTGAAGGCATTGAATCCCCCGGAAGAAGTAAAAGTGGGCGATGGCAGGATTCTAAAGGCTACAGCTGTCGGTAAAATAAATGTAAAAGTCCATGATGGAGAAAAATGGATACCACGATGTCTCAAGGATGTAAGGTTAGTTCCTGATTTTGGGCCGCTCAATCTTTTCTCTATTGTAGCCACGACCGACATGGGCTATGAAGCGCATTTCAGTAAGTCAACGGTGATGGTTAAGAATTCAGAAGGCGACGTTATTGTCCGTGGTGTCAAGAAAGGACATTCGACGTATCGAATGTTAATCAAAGTAGAGAAACCGGCTGAAGCTTGTGTGGTTCAGAAGGAGGTCTCTGCGTCATGGGAAACTTGGCATCGCAGACTTGGACACGCAGGAAAGGACAAAGTAAAAGAGCTGCTGAAATCTAAAGGATACGGTGCGACTGGAAGTGAAGATTTCTTCTGTGAAGCTTGTGTTTTTGGAAAGATGACCAAAGGACCATACAAGACAAGCGTTAACAAGGATTTCAAGCCAGGTACAAAAATTCACTGCGATCTCAGTGGAAAGGTCTCAATAGATTCTGCTAGCGGTTATAAATATTTTGCTGTCTTCATTGACGAGAGTTCCGGCTACAAGAAAGTCGCTATGTTAAAGAAGAAGGAACTTGTCGAAGAATTCACAAGAGTAATCCAGGAAGTAAAAGAAGAAACGGGACGCCCAATAGAAATTTTGCGAACAGATCAAGGAACGGAATTCACAGGGACATCATTTAAAAATCTTCTAAAGAAGCACAAGATCAAGCATGAAACAAGTGTCGAGTATACACCGCAGTCTAATGGTATGGCTGAACGTGCCATCCGATCTCTTACTAAAAAGGCTCGTTCTCTGCTTGCAAGTGCAAACCTACCAAAGTTTATGTGGGCTGAGTGTGTATCTACTGCTTGCTATCTGTCGAATTTTGTAGCCACCCGTGATTTGAAGAAGACATCTTACGAACTTTGGCATGGAAAGGAGCCGTCCATCGAGCACTTACGTGCATTCGGTTGTGACGCTTTTGCACATCCCAAAACAAAAGAGAAACAAGTTCGATAAGAAAGCTCGAAAAGGACAGCTGATAGGCTATGGACCAAGTACGAAGCTGTATCGTGTTTATTTCCAAGATCTTCAAGATGTTCGCATTGTGCGCGACGTAAAATTTAATGAAGAAAAGCAGAACTCTTTCTACGTGGAGGACGAGATAAAGTCATCACCCGTTGGTGATGATGATCGAGGCGAGACTAGTAGAGATGAAGAAAGCGCTTCTGCTGAGGAAATCGCTAAGACATCTACACGTCCGAAACAAGCAAATGTACGTAAACCAAGCGGACCGCTAACCATGACGCTCCGAAATCGTCATCCTGTTGTTGAGGAAGCTCCGACTGAAACGTTACAAGAGGGTCACGAAGCTTTAATGGCGTTGATTGCGGAAGAACCCAAGACTGCAAAAGAGGCTCTCGAAGGTAAAGACTCTGTCAAATGGCAACAAGCTATGCAGGATGAACTTGATTCATTTGTGAAAAATGACGTTATCGAGATATGTGCCTTGCCACCAAAGAAGAAAGCTATTGACACTGGTTGGGTTTTGAAGATCAAGCGATATCCAAACGATGAAATCAATAAGTTGAAAGCCAGAATTGTTTGTCGCGGATATAGTCAAAGAAATGTGGAATTGATTTCTCAAAAACATTCGCACCGATGGTTCGTATGGATTCTATCAGAATTCTATTAGCTATTGCAGCTCAAGAAAATTTAGTACTCAAACAATGTGACGTGAAGTCAGCATTTCTCTACGGGGAAATCGAGGAGGAAATTTATGTACGGCCTCCTGATGAAGTCGACATCGAGGAAGGCAAAGTTTGGAAGCTGAAGAAGTCTCTGTATGGTCTGAAGCAATCGCCTCGCAATTGGAACAAGAGGTTTAATGAGCTTGTCACCACCTTTGGGCTGACTCGTTCCAATGCAGACCCGTGCATTTACTATGGCAATGGTCAGAGGAGACGTATACTGTTGGCGGTTTATGTAGACGACATCCTCGTGGCAGGACATCAAGAAGAAGTAGTGACCGAACTGCTGAACTTTATGAATGACGCATTCGAGATCAAGATCGAAGAACCGACCTATTTCTTAGGCTTAGAACTGAACGTTGACCGGAAATCAGGATGATTCGAGTCAATCAAGAGGTTTACATCCAAAGCATGCTTGCTCGTTTTGGCATGACAAATTGTAACCGAGCCTCCTACACCACGTCATGTAAGAGAAGTCAAGCGGATCTTCCGTTACTTAAAGGGAACAACGTCAATTGGAATTCAGTTTGGTGGTGGTAAAAATGAGATCGTTGGATACTGCGATTCCGATTACGCTGGATGTCTAGACACTGCTAAAAGTACATATGGGCATGTGTTTGTATTGATGGCCGATATCCTGGGAATCGCGGAAGAGTACGATTGTCGCAGATTCTACGACTGTTGCTGAACTACAGGCTGCATATGAAGCATCGAAACAAGCGATGTGGATCAGAGATCTGATGAAAGAGCTAATGTCATCTTTTGAGGGTCCGACGGTGCTCTATTGCGATAATGAATCAGCCATCAAGTTGTCAAAGTCCGAGGAGATCAAGAAGAGGACGAAACATATTAATGTTCGTTTCAATTTTCTACGCCAGGCTGTTGAAGATAATATAGTGGAGGTCAAGCATGTCGCTGGCACAGAAAATCCAGCAGATATGCTAACGAAGCCCCTGTCCCGCCCTAAGCTGCTCAACTGCTGCAATATTCTCAATATAAAGTGAGACTACGGCAAGAGGGGATGTTGATTATGTGACGTTTGTCTCACTTATCCTTTCTGTTAATCAGTTTTGTGTATCGCGCTCGCCGTATATGATATATTGTGTCTTATTTTTTCCTTTTCTTTTATCAGACAGATGGCGTGCGCTGCCACGGTTATCATACGATTACTTGTCTATGTATTTCTTATTATTCTCAGTCAGTCTACTTAACGCCGTTGTAACACATGTATTTTTTATTCGCCCTGCTATAAAGAAATTCCAATAAAATCTCTATTTATTGATAAATT